TTCTAGCCCAGAAATCACATTTTCCGGTCCAGAAATCACATTTCTGGGTCAGAAATGTGATTTCTGGGACCCAGAAATCGTTTTCTAGATTATCTAGTTGTGATTTCTGGCCCATAAATCACATTTCTGCCCCATAAATCACATTTCTGGCCTAGAAATCGATTTCTGGGACGGAAATGTGAACAAATCGATTTCTTGTCACGAAATCGATTTCTGGCCCAGAAATCACATTTCTGACCCAGAAACAGAAATGTAATTTCTGTGTGAGAAATGTGAACAAATCGATTTCTGTGTCAGAAATGTGATTTCTGGGTCGGAAATGTGATTTTTGGTACCCAGAAATCGTTTTCTAGATTATCTCGTTTTTAGTCCCATAAATGTGATTTTTGGGCCGAAAATCGATTTATGAGACTAGAAATCAATTTTCTGGACAAGGAATCGATTTCTACTCCAGAAATCGATTCCTGGGCCAGAAATCCAATTTATGGACAAGAAATCTATTTCTAGTCCCAGAAATAAATTTCAGTGGGACCATTGGGAGACCCAGCAGCAGACCCACTGGACTCAGATGGGCTCACATTTCGACGGCTTCACTGACGGTCTCCGATCCATTCGCGAGCGACAGGACCAGCAGGATACTCGGATGGACAGTTGGGATCAGAGGTTCACCCAGTGGGACACCCGTTGGAACTCCGGAGCCAGTCAGCCCTACCCGCCACCACCACCTCCGGACGCCCAGTGTTAAGGCTTTGTTGGATATGAATGTTTTCAGTTTTACTTTAATAAATGATGTAACACCCCGCTATTTCATGAAAATCAGAGCACGCTTTTCGCAATTACGTTCAAAATAAAACATTTTACATTGCGAAGTACTAATTCGGAGTGCTACTAAAATACATAAATGACTGAAAAATCTGGACTTTTGGTTTGAAAAACCAACTACTAGTTCGCCGACTGATTCATTTGACTAAGAATGACGAACATTAAAACATCAGCGGAAACTGTAGTGGTGAATTTGGATAGCAGTACCGTGATCGTGAAAACAAGTTATTTGAAAATACTAACAGTACCGCAATGCCAAATTCAAACTGCACAAAATGTAATTTAAGCTTTATAAGCGTAGAGCTTAGGC